TCATGCAATACGAGTACCGTAAAGCCTAGTAGTCATGATAACCAAAGTATACTAACATGACAGGGAAACATGGCATGTCTATGAGGTATTACCAAAGCCATAGCAAAAACTTGATGGAATGTGTGCATGATTATACCTCGAGAGAAATTTAATATCTAAAATAAATTAGAATTTAAAATTATTAGGATGCGGCCGGTCGGCACTCCTACACCCTCCGTTAGTAATTGAGATTTAAATGTTAAAAAGAAAAAAGAAAAAAATATTTGAGTGTGAACCTGGGATGGTGGGTGTTCTTGATCACTTTCTGGCGGTATTTTCTCCACTTGTATCCATCATCAAGGACGTCCACATTGCTCATGGTCTTGAAGCAAAACCTAGGTTCCCTTACCTTTCTTCTTGCTTTTATCCTCTTCATTTTTATTGCTGAAACCCCTAGGTGATCTTCTACGCCAATTTTCTTGCTTCCCAAACAATCGCTTCCCCATTCCCTACGATCACGTCAAACAACCCCCCCCCCAAAAAAAAAATATCATTTACGCTTAGAAGAGATATCTGCATGAAAACCAATGATTGTAATATTTTTAATGGACTACTGAAAACCATTTCATTTCCATGCAGGGAAGAAAAGCAAGGAAGAATGTTTGGACCTGAAATTTGCAGTAGATGTGTGCAAAGAAAGGAGTTGGGCTTGAGAATGAGTTAGATGAGGCAGTGCATGAATATCAAAGGGTTTGAGATATGGAAATGGAGGATAAGATGAAGTCAGGTTTAGTGGAAAAGTAAAGAAACCCATTTGAGAAATAGCAGCAAGCTTCTCTTTTTCATCGAACAAGCCCCGGGCTTGATGGGAGCTCCATGACATCTTCTATCTTTCTCTATACCTATGCACGAGTCTTGTGGAGGATAAAGGATTTAATGTAGGTTTTGCTTTTGAAGATATCATGAAAGAGACCCTATTTGACTTTTGCTCCCCAAAAAGCTTCTTCACTTTTTGTATATACCTCTCCTTAAAAACCAAAATGAAACCCCACCATTTCTCAATTTTCAAACCCACCTCCATTATATTGTTATCATCTTCTCTTCAATATTCAACATAATAATTACACTTTTTTTTAAAAAAAGAATGTCTTCTTTTTCTTTCCCTGCTTAATTGCCCTCCCAAGCCGAGAATCACTTCATATCTAATAGGGCTAATTCCTTTACTACCTAAACATACTTCCAATTATCTGAATCCCAAGGCTTTTCCCCAGTCCCAGAGTTTTCATCGCTTCACCATTCGATGCCAACCATCTATGTCTAAGGTCTGAATCTGACAATGATCTTCCTGATAACTTCGAAAGTTCCAAGTCTTGTATCTTTAATTTGTGTTTTTTGAGTGCTCTATCCCTTGTTCTTCTATTTGCTAACGATAGAACTTGATCCTGTAAATCCAAGAGCGACCCGTATCTTTTGGTTTTCTTGTTTTTTCTCTTCTGAACTAGTTCTGGAAATAGACCTAATACTCACTCCACCTTTTCATCCTTAGTTAACCCTGCTTTCTTTGTGTTTAAAGCATTCTCCAAATTAGCTTCCATATTTAACATAACGTCAAGTTCGAGGCCCACTCTTCATTATCTTGATACAGCCCATTAGACAGAGCTAATACATCGATCATCCAAGGCCCATATCCTTAATGTCCTGACGAGCCCTCAAGCTAAGCTTATTAAGATTTTCAATTTCCTTCAATCTAATATTCATAATATTTTCCTTAAGCCCATACAAATTATTTAATCCAACAAATTATCCAGGGGCCTAATTTAATGACTCTCATCCACTCTCCTTATTTGAATCTTGCACGTGATTAATTCCATCAAGTGTTGTAAACTTGACTGTTCCCATTTCAACCATAATCCTGCCGCCACTACCTGCAAGTTTTGAACACTTATGTTCCTTGTACTTTCCCGACAAACTTTTCATTGAATGATTCATCCCCCGAGGAGAGGATCCTGGATCTCCACCTTTCTCCGACGACATCTTCGCTGGAGTCTTCTCGGATGACTCTCCAGATACTTCTTGATCGGATTTATCTTCTTCCATTTTCTCCTCCACGACCAATTTCTTATTCGACCTTTCATCACCTTTCTTCTGAGCTTTTGAGTCATCGCACAGGCCTTTTCCACCACCTTGATTCCATATTTCATATTTCTGACCACTAAGTTTACCACTTCCTCAATACGTGATTTTTGCTTTGTCGTCACCACTATTGTGACTTTTTTCACAGCCCATCTGGTGCCTTAAGTGTTCACCACATGCTTTAAGATTCCCTCATAATCCTGCTATTCTCGACAATGTCGTGCCATTCCAACAATGTATGGGTACCACATATAGCTCCAACCAGATCGCTCACTCCACTACCTTTATCTCTTCTGATCATAATTTGACTTCGACAAAAATTTCTTTAAGATACGACTATTGAAGATCCTCCAATAAGATGAATATGTCTTCGTCCTCATATTGGTAAGTAGGAACAACTTTCCTCCTAGCCTTTGCACTTTAATTTCCCCCAGCCCCCACTCGTTGCGTCTTCCTTCAATACTACTTACGCTACATATTATGGACATTTCACCGATTAAGCATCTTCTAACCTTCCACAAGTCTGCATCTTCTACATAACCTATCACCTTCTTTCTCTTATCTAACGTGATGTTCTCAACTTTCTCCTCCTCGGATTGAAATTTCTCCTCCGTAGATTTAAAATTTTTCGTTTCCTCCTTCTTAGGTCTCCACTCCTGCTTTCGAGGCTACGATTTTCTCAGCATCGATGTTCTATTAGTATTAGCAAACGTTACCGACACTACAGCAAAATAGGTTTTTAGCGGCGTTTTTAGCCATATAGCGGCATTTTTAAGCGTCACTAAAAACCTTTGTGGTTCAAAAACAAACATTGATGAGCTGCTGAACAAACGCCGCAAAAGATAGCGTCGTTTTTTTTACAAAAGCTGTTAAAGGTTATGTTTTTAGCGGTTTTTTTACAAAAGGCGCTAAAGGTAATGATATGTGACGGTATTTTTTTTTACAAATGCCGCTAAATGTTATGTCATATAGTGGCATTTGTGAATGTAAAACGCCACTATAGACTACACTATTGTGGTGTTTTCCTTATAAACGCCGCAAAAGATCTAAAACTTTAGTGGCGTTTTTCAAAAATATCGGTATTGTATTTAGTGGCGTTTTTTATACAAACGCCGTTAATTAAAACTAATTTTTAAAAGTTATTTTCTACTATTTTGTTACCCTAAATTAAAATTTTAACCTATAACAGTATCCAATAAACTTGACATCCATAACAAGAAATTTGAAATCCATAACAAGAAACTTGAAATCCATAATAATAAATCAAAGTTTACATTAACGTAAAATATAATGTAGTTCAACACTATTAACTAGAATAACAATAATAACACCTAAGATGGTGGACTCTGGGGTTGATTTTGTCGTATCATTTGCATCATAGCTTGAAGTTGATTTTGAAAGTCTTCACATTTTTTCTGATGTGTTGCTTTTCTCTCAGCTTCCCTTGCTTCAGTTTTGACTCCATTTCTATATTCGTCACTCCATTTCTATATTCGTCGCTTACCCTTGACAAATCCATCCAACTCTTATCCATTTCGTATTTCTGGATTATTAATTTCAAATGTTAATTTCTAATATTATAGAGAAAGTAAGCAACTAAACATAAGCATTACCTTTAATTTCAAAATTGAGAACATATCACAACAAACTAAAACTGACAACCAATATATCAAATAATTATCAAATAAATTATGACAAAAAGTAATTCTTTGTCTTTGCTTAAAACTAAAAAAGCTCCAAAATCACAACGTTTTGGTGCTGGAGTTAGACACTTAACGATAAAGTGATCAAAATGAGAGAAATTTGAAAGTTTAGTGATGAAATTATTGTTTTTAAATTGAATGACCAAAACAGAAACACATACAACATTGAATTATCAAAATAGAAACATATGTAAAGTTGAGTGACTTAAAAAGTAGTTCACCGTTACTTTATTTGTCATGCATCCAACACCGGAGTATTAAACCATAAACTAGCAAAGGAATAGGAACAAATGGAAATGAGTTAGAATATACAGGACTACAGCATGCAACATTTAGAAAATTAAAAAACTCACCCCAGGCAAGTAGAAGGACTTTCTCGTAGAAAACTGTCGATAATTCAGAGTGTGCCAAACTGTAATATATTAGAACCAGACATTAACTTGACATTTATTTATGAAACAGTGGAAAACATTCAAACTGAGAAAACCATAGGGTATACCATAAAGCCCAAAGCCGAAGATATGATGTAGTGTTCGAGACAGCACCAAGAACAAACTCAATGGAATTAATGTATCATTTGGTGCACAAAAACCTCAGTAAAGTTGAACTCCTCATGATGTTCTCATGCAGAATCAGGTTCGGCATCAGGACTAAACTCAGAGGAGATAAGCATGCCATAGTTGCGACCTTGAAATCTCTAAAACATATTTAAGGAAATATATCACATAATTAACAAGATATTCATGTGATCTCCTCTAAATTTATTCTAGGGTAAACTACGTATTTAGTCACCCACCTATTCCCGCGGTTCCGTTTTGGTCACCATATTGTTTTTTTTTCTTTCAAAATCATACCTAATTTTACAATTTGATAATTTCATTCGCGAAAAGATCCAACAAAATTTAATAACTATTGGTTATGTAAAAATTAAAAAAAAATAACTATGGAGATATTTTCACAAAGAAGGAATATTACAGAATTATAGGATAAATATTAGGGTTGATATACATTGTATTTAATGTAAGAGATTGCATATTGTATATATACCAATTTTGATGATAAAATACAAGAAAATATTCTCTTCATACTATTTATATAGAAAGAAAGGAAAATCAGCAACATGGTACCTCAGAATGAAGCTTCTTCAAAATAAAAGGTTTATGAAAAGCATCCACGGAACTGTAACTAATGCCAAAACTAGCAGCGCAATCTACACAAGTTAGGCAACAATATGCCACTGTGAATAGTTGAAAAACATCAACATGGAAAATAACAGTATCAACCAGATAGGCCTCCACAACTTCTTGAAGAGCCGCTACGATGCTGCTTTGGAACCTCAGATCCGTCTTGAAATCTTGAGCGATCTCCCTCACCAGTCTCTGGAACGGAAGCTTACGAATCAACAACTTTGTACTCTTCTGGTACTTCCTGATCTCCCTTAACGCTATCGTCCCGGGCCTGAAACGGTGTGGCTTCTTTACTCCTCCAGTGGCCGGAGCAGACTTCGTGGCAGCTTTGGTTGCCAGCTGCTTACGTGGCACCTTCCCTCCTGGTGATTTCCTGGCTGTTTGCTTTGTACGAGCCATCGGATAACTGAAAATGATCGGAAGACTATATTTGGTTGCAATAAAAACCAACGGAATTTGGTGATTGGATTTATGATCGATGCTAAGGGAAAATGGTTTTGGTAGTATATATTAATAAATTTCAACATATTTAAAAAAATTCAAAGCGCGCGGGGGAAAATTTTCAATGGCAAAATGTTATTAAAGTACGAGTCTTTAGCCGTTTGTAAATACAAGAGCCACTAATGTACTAATAAATTGTGGCGTTTGTATAAAAATACCACTAAAGTACTAGTATTTAGCGGCGATTGTGCTTAAAACGACACTAAAATACAATATTTAGTCATGTTTATACAAAAACGCCACTAAAGTACGAGTCATTAGTGGTGTTTGTACAAAAACACCACTAAAGTACAGTATTTAGCGGCGTTTATATAAAAACACTGTTAAAGTATGAGTATTTACCAGCATTTATTCAAAAATACCGCTAAAACCCATTATTTAGCGATGTTCTACTACCATAAACCTCCAATCCCTTTAATCTCTTTATCATTCTCCACACCTCGAGCCTACTCTTCACCCTTATGAAAGCAAATCTAGTTCCTCCTCTATTCTTCTAGTTAGCGATGTACACGTTCCTCACTTCACCTTGTCTACCAATGATCTACCATTGACCCTTCTAGTGCAATTCTAATGGTAGGTTGTCCACAAACAAAGTAACCAAATCTTCCATGATTGAACCTTTGGAGAAGCTTATCCAGACACGAGCTTTTCAAAGCTCAACTGAATGGGTTCGAGAGGTTATTTTTGTGAGCCATTTCTAAATTACTTTCATGAAGTTTTGTATTATTATCCTTGACCAAATCTCAAGAGAGATAGTCCCACCTTCTATCCCTTAAGAAATTCAATGTATATTCCCAATATTCGATAATCATGTAACCACATAGATGAACTTCAATGTATATTCCAAATATTTGATAATCATGTAACCACATAGAAGAGGGGGAGGATGATATACTTAATAGGTTGAGACCAAATTGTTATATAACCATTTTACTAATAATTATATCTTTCAAGTAAGGCTTAATAGATTATCTAAATCATTAAATTATTAAAACACTAGAAAATAATTTTAAGATATAATTTTGGAACTATTTGTCATTAAATGCTCTATGAGAGAAACTATTTCAAATCAGTTGAGGGCACGACAATATTCATTATCTTCGAATCACATTTTCTTTTCTTTCACCATATTTAAGTTTTATTGATTTATTTTCTCTAACATTGTCCCATTTTAATTTTTTTAATAGTTGGGGTGCTTAAAAGATAATATTCGTTCAAAATCTTTCTTTATCATTGATAGCGCACAAATTTTACAGACGCAGTTACTCGAATCCGAGACTTAAAGGGAGAACAACAATCTCTTTGACCACTAAAATCAATTGATGAATTCACCTTATTTTAACTCTTAAACAGATAAACCGATTAGTTAACATACTTGTATATAGTATAATTTTGCAGCTGAAGCTGGCGTGGAACAACGTAGCCATGACGTCAAAATCGTACGTTTAATGGGAATAATTGTGATGCATAATTTGCACTTTGCAGTGACCAATTCTGGGTTCTTTTCAAAAGAGAGATTTAAAACCTGAAGTTCAAATAGTAATATTAGTTTATGATATGGGCCCTAATTGGGGAAGATAAGGGGATTGGCACTGGCAACCGCCAATCTCTATTTCATTTTGTCTCTGTTTATAACTTACAACCGATTATTATGTCACTTACATTTCTTCTATTGCCTTACTAGTTTTAGCCTATAGTATTTGGCAAACCGGGATTCCAGGTTTATGATGAATCATCTCTGGACTATTATTCCATGGAGTCATTACACCACGCTCTCAGATATTGTTTTCTATCTCAGCTACTTTCAAACGATAAATAGGACCATATATGACTAAATAATAAACAAAATTATAAATATCGGAACGGTCTTTACGTTTAACAAATTTTTAAAAATGATGTAAAGATAAGAGTCACTGTCAATATTTTTTTATGTGAAACTGGACTACTTAAATTCATATTATTTTAATAAAACATTTAATTTTACTAAAAAATAATAAGATTTTAGCGTGCGGAATGAAAAATTGAATTCAAAAAGCGATTATATGTAAAAAAAAAGATTTACATCCTCATGACGCTTAAAATTAGTACATAGACGAGTAATTATTATTTTAATTTAAAATTTATGAGTTCGTGTTTTTATTTAACTTATAACCTATTACGATATAATTTTTTTTAGAAAATATTGATTTATTTCGAAAATTAACAATGGTTATCTCTGACAAAAAAGAAAATTATATCCGTACCCAATAATAAATAAATATTACCTTAATAATTTTAGGGTAAAGTATAATAATGGTCATTGAACTTTTCTGAAGCTTGCATTTAGGTCTCCCAACTTTTAAAACTTTCAATACAGTCCTCCAACATTTAGTCCGTTTGCAATATGATCCCGAGGTAACCGGCCGTTTGACGTCGTTACAATGCCGTTAGAAGTTAGTCCGTTTGCAATATGGTCATTGAACTTTTTAGGCGCTTGCATTTAGGTCCCCCAACTTTTAAAACTTGCAACACAGTCTTCAATTTCATTCTAAATCCCAAATTCCAAAATAATTCAATTACATTTTAAACCCCAAATTCTAAAATATTTCAATTTAGGGTTTAGAATATAATTGAAGTATTTTTGAATTTGGGGTTTAGAATGTAATTGAAGTATTTTGGAATTTTGAACATGAATTTGCTATTTGACAGTGTTTACTTTAATAAAATTTTGAGGTTTGTTGCATGCAAATCCAACGACTGCCGCACTTTAAACATGAAAAGTGCACCTATCACGTTTATTGCATAAACCGTTGAAGTAAAAGTAACAAGACCAATTTGTCTTGTTCGTAGCAGCCGCACTTTGGTATGACAATCCAATAGGTTTGGATGGAACTTGAGCATGCACATCCAACGGTTGCGAAAATAGTAAATAATTTTAGTTCATAGGATTACAACATACAATTAAGCAATAACTAAAATAAACCAAGAATATCAATTAATAACTCATTCAAAAGGATGACTTAATAAATAAAGGGAAAGAGGTTCGGTCATAGTCACTCCAAAAGCTAAGGCATCAAATGGGTTGTTTAAAATATACATTAGATGCCAAATACAACATTACCAGTTGCAAATGCATTAATGACCTACCCTTTTAACATATAATTGCTTCTAATGCTCCATGTTTAATATTCCTCAATAGCCAAACATGATGAGAATCTAAAGTAGATAGCGGAACTAAAATCATAGGACCCTATAATTCTTGTAAATTCATGGCATGTCAGCAATAAAAGACATTGTAAAACATAAAGGACACTGCAACAAACATATATATGCCAGAAAGGAAGGTGCAAATGTGCAATGACCGGGCAACATATCAAGTAATTGCTCCAAATATACTACCCTGTCATGATGTCTTTCGAGTTGCGTGCATGCAGAATTATCTTCTAAAGCTATAATTCAATACAGATTTAACCGTAAAATTTCCAAAACATGTAAAAAATCCAATTTGTTCAGGATATATCAGTCCCATAATCAACTTGAACTTATTAAAAAGAATACGAGCTCACAGGACGTCGAAAACCACATGTCAGATCAATACAATTCCAGTAAACTAGTACCATCAGTCTCTCGGATTAAGCCTAGCGATTTCACTATGTCGATACTCACAACCAATTCCCCGATTTAAAGAAAAACCAAACACGAAGATAAAAAAATTTAGCCTAGGATCCTGATGTAAGGCTATCTAAGCTTCTTCAATGATGGAGAAGTTGGCAGCCTTGTTGTTTCCCGATCTAGGAGAGACACCAAATGCTACACTTTGAATTGATAAGTAATCTGCACAATATAAGAAATAAAATTATTAACTGGAAATAATAAATGAAAGAAATGGAAATTAATCAGAAATGAAATGGAAAGAAATGATATCAAGGTAGGTTGCGGAAGTGTTGTATAAGTATCCTTCAAGTGATGATGAATTCGGCCTCCAAATGATGTTGCTAGACGTATGCCTTGTTGATGAATGAAGGATAATTCAATGATGAAGATATGGGAATGGAATGGTGTTGATTTAGGCGTGAATGGTGATGGAAGATGGTGATGGCTAGATAGTATCTCAAAGAATACTCAAAGAAGAACCAATGTTAAAGAACAAATACTCAAACTTTATATTGCTTCTTTAAGGGGTGGTAAACAAGGTCTTGAACCCACTAGTTATAAGAACTAGGAACTCGAAGTATCTATGGAAGGAGTGACGCCATAAACTTAGAAATAAGCTTGCTTAATCGATATAGTTATAAAAAGAACTTGAAGAGAGAATAATCTCACAAGAGTTTAATTTATCAAAAGGGTTGAGTACAAATGAAATGCCAAAGCCCTATTTATAGGCTTGCAAAGGTTTGGCCAAATAATTATGTGTCCATTCGGCTAGATACATGACTTTTAAATGGAAATACATGTTGTTTTAATGAAGGGAGATGTCCTTGACCGAATGGTCTTCTTGTTGTTCATCTTGGCACCAACTTTGATGCAACACTATGCTTTGGCCGAATAGGGAGAAACCTCTTCACTTTGGCGCCCATTTCATCAACATGCATGGCACATGTGTGGGCTGGTCATGAGGTACTCACATGGGTGGCATAGGATGCTTATGGCATAGCTCCTCCATGGTGTGTAGATAAGCAACAAGATAAGCGTGACTTGGCATCCAACATGTGTCTAAATTACATGTCATCAATGGGGCAACAACTTGTTATGAAAGGTCACATTTGTAGAAGACAACCTTTCATAATTTGAGTTATTTTCCATGTGTTTGAGCTGAAGATGAGCTGGCCTCATATGAAGGACATGTAGGTGAGCCTTAGGACAACTCCTTGTAAAAAAGACACCTCTTGGAATGGCAACTCTTTACGAAAAGGTACGAA